AAATGAAAAATTCCTGCCTCTGTGCAAACCCCGAGCATCTCAATTTTTGAAAAATTTTGGTCAAATTTCCATTTTTGTTCGCAGTTTAGATGGTCAAATGCCCCACCAATTAGCACTTCAAAAAGCCTCACCCACCAGCCATGCGTCAAGCCATTTAATTGATCGCAGGCTCACTTCCAAGTGGATTTCTGTACAATTCATGGCTATGAGTTCATTGTGTGAAGTAAATTATAACTTTATTAACAGTAACTGGAGCTTCGCCTTTAGTAAAGTGTGACTACCAACTTGGATTACTGTAATGCGATTCTACATGGACTTCCTAAAGTTCTCTTGAACCGCCTACAGCTAGTTCAGAATAGAGCAGCATTCATTGTAACATTCACAGAGAAATATGAACACATAACACCCAGCTTAATAGACTTACATTGGTTGCCCGTTGAATACCGTATTATTTATAAAATTTTATTGTTAGTATATAAGGCTATCAATGGACTTTCACCAAGTTATATATCCAATTTGCTCAGGTTTTGCAGCAGCTCCTACTCTTTGCGTTCTTGCTGGAATAAGTCACTTCAAGTCCCGAGATCTAAGCTTAAGTCTTATGGTGATCGAAGATTTTCTATTGCAGGGTCTAAATTATGGAACAGCATACCCGCATCTTTAAGGAATACCGATTCCTTGGATTCTTTCAAAAAACACTTAAAGACATATTTATTTCACCAAGCTTTTTCTTAATTTATAAATAGATTTTTATTCATTTTTCACACTTATATATGTAGTTGTTAGATTTTTTAGAGTTTTAATACATTTTAAGTTTAAAATAAAGTTTATTATTATTATTATTATTATTATTATTACTAGCCGTGGCTAAATCCATGTATTACATTATATGGCATGACATTAGTGTCGTGGTCATGGACTCAATTTGAATGTCTATTTTTGACATCACTTTGGCCAAGGAGGGATTCGAGAATGAGTTAACATGGTTAAGTTGTTTGTTTCTTTTTGTAGGGTAAATTTCGTTGGCTTTCTGAGGAGCTGAAGGCTCGCCTCGCGACTGAATGGAGACTCAAAGAACAAGCAGAATGGAGCCATAAGAGAATCCGGGTTTGTAGAAGATTCTTTTAAGTTGGTGCTCTTAATCGTAGACCTCGAGTAGTCGTTCATTAGGCGAGTGAGCGATCGTGTTAAGTGCGTGACAAGTGTAGAACGTGTAGAAGCGCATTTTTGGTGTGCGGATTTTTGCGCGTTCTTGTGGGTTTGCAAGACATTTTAATTTTTTTGTTCTTTTTTTTTTGACATTGTTAGGATGTCGTACAGAAAGCGGATGAAGATAAGGAATATTGTGTATCTGAGCTGGATAAACAGAGCATGTTACTCGATGAACTAGTGGCACAAAAGAAAGGTAATCACGTAAAATCTTGAAAATCACAGATTATCATTAGAATGAGATGGACCAATGGCCGACCCAGGGGAGAGTTCAGGGGTTCTTTCCCGCCTAAATACACTCATAAGCGAAATGAACCTACACCCATGATAAATGAATACGTCTAAAACGACAGATGAAGGCTGTCCAAGGGATTTTTCATTCATATTCCTATTTACGTTCAGGTTTTTTTTTTTTAATTTTTCTGACATTGGTTATGTTATTTTATTCAGGTTTAGACTCCAAGAACAAACAGAATACGGACAACATCAAGGCTCTTCAGGTAACTTTTTTATTTCCAAAGTTTCCTCTCCAACCCAGGGCGTTGGCAGGTTTTATTGTTTATTTTTGGTCTCTTGCACATAAGCGTTTTGACCTGTTTCCTCAGTGTAATCTG